CAAGCAGCTTCTTATGAGTGGGGGGCCAGTAACCATAATTCTACAGTAATGTTTAGCATTAAGGCAACTGCAGTATCCATTGGGACCAGTTGATATTGGGTGATGTTTTCCGGGACTCCACCAACGAGGGGCTTGTCTTAAAACAAATCTGGATCTCGCCTAAACCATTCCTCACCTTTTGAACTTCTGATGAACTTCGACTATAAAGAGCCACAGGGGAGATCCTCATGGCTGCACCGTTTCCATAGGAACCTTGTCCATCAAATTGAGAGCGAGCCGGAAGTGTAACATCTTCGGGATTCGTATCCCGCAAACGCTTAAAGACTGTCCCGACAGCAGCACCATAGCCACGACCAGGCTCTTTGAAGAATTCCTGAACAAACGCTTTTGCCATGCTGCGGTTATCGTACTTCTTTTCCTCAGTTAACGACTTGCAGATCGCTCGAGTCATCGCTGTATCATCCGTGTAATGGATCGGTTCTTTCTCGTCTTTGATTCTTTCCAAAGTGTAATCGGTAACTTCTCCCCATGGTAAAGTGCTGGAGACGCCTTCATAGTTTGATCCAAGGCAGTCACCAACCAAGGCACCAACAAGTGTTCCGCGAAACTTGTGTAACATTTTACTCATATCTACAAATCCTTCAATGCAAGGTGTCTTTCTACAGAATCTAGCATAATCTTGTCAATATTTCCTAACTCAGTTAAAAAACTTGAGTGTCCTAATCCAGCGGTTTCCCATGAAATCCCATTAGCCTTAGCAAGCAACAGCATTTCCATCATGGCGGCAAAATTTGTTTTTCCTTCGTATACCAAAATCGTCTTGACACCTCGACAGTTTTCGAAAAACGTGCCGTTTATTACAAAGAAGTTATTTCTTGATTCAAGAAGAAACAGATCTACATCAAATTTTTCGTATCCTCTTTCAGAAACTTTAGAGAAAGTCAAGGAATCACTGGCCGCGATTGCCAATGACAAACTCCCGAGGAAAACCACTAGGGTGTTTGTAGGAACAGGGCAATACTACGATCATGAGACCAACGAAAGAATAGTTGTAATATCTCTTGGAGGAAATGGAAACTTAGAGCTACCGATTGTCCTTCACGATACCTCCCTTCCTCGCGGTGAAGTTGATAAACTGGAGAAGGAACTGAACTCTTTGTCAGAGGTGGGTTCCGTTCATTCTGGCGAGTTAGACAGCGTGCAAGACTCTCCCTGGAAATTTGGATTTACTTGTAAACCTTCGTTTTCTATCTTCTCGACCTCTGGATTTTGCTGTCAATTTCAACATTCAAGGGTAGAAGGAGAGTGCTTTAGAATCTTTGATGAACATATGCATTTGCATGAAGATGTACCTCTTTCAGAGATAGAGCATATCCAAGTTTCGCTGTCTCCAGAGCCATGGGAGGAGAGGAAACTGCAACTCAAAATGAAGAATGGAGATTTAATTAGTGTTCTGGAAGACTGTGAAGAGAACATCTCCAATGAAAATGGTTTGGCTTCCCTGATGCTAACCACTGAATGGATGGTGAAGGCTGCTGGACATATGTGTGTAACAGCCAGACAGTTTGGAGCCACCACAGTTTCTCTCAAACTTCCTTCTGTACTTAGAGCTGATGTCAATCCATGGGTGGCAATGAGAAACAAGATCTGGGCAAAGAAAAACAGTGAGAGTTGAGAACAGGAGGAATAGGCTCCATTGACAAACACAGGTGGGATTCAGTGGGATTGATAGACTGGTAATGGGTATATATACATGTACACCTGTAAGACCAATTTGAACCCTTTCACTCCCAAGATCTTTTTAGTAATTCTCCTCACTGACTGTCATTTTTTCTTATGATGTTAGTTTAGAGAACTAGGTATTAGATCAACTAATAATCCCCTTCTTAAAATTTTTCTTTATTGTGATATTGTGAGGAGAAGTTCTGTTTTGGTTACTTGTGGGAGTCAAAGGGTTAAGACCAATTCCAAGAGTTACTTTGATGTATGGTGACGTTTATTTCTGTGATTTCTTTGATTACCTTTCTAAGAATCAGTTTGTAGCTTGTTTTCATTTACAGGTAAAAATATTTTATTTTTCATTTATTATTTGTGATCAGCGAATGCTCTCAAATTTGCTTCTTTCTCAATAGGGTTCCTCACAGCTCAGTTGGTAATAGTGTCCAATTAATAGCTAGGGGGGGGGACTCGAAATATTTGGTTTGAGATGAGACAATAATCAGGGTTTACAAGTCCAGAATAGGTTACTTGTACTCCAATAATTGCTAATTCATGTAAACTGGAAGTTCTCCTTGAAAAGGAAAGTGGTATTTTTAGTTGGGTGTACTGTTAAAAACATTACAATGACAACTTCAGAGGGTAGTTTTTGAATGAACTCTATTTTGTTATTGCGATGGCAGCAAGCTACAGATTGGTTGTAGATGAAATTGTGGCTCTACATGTATATAGCTTAAAATTTTTTCCCAACAGGGCATGCTCTCATTGGTTACCTTGGAGTCATGTGACATCTCTAACAAAGAAATTGTTTGAACTCAAAAGTCTGTGATTGGACAACATTGTAAAATCTTTGACAGCAGAGAATTAAAGGGTACAGTCACCCATAAATGTTGACTGTTGACTTTTGTTGCATGTGAATATGGTGGTGCTAGATTTATAAATTATTGAATAAGGGTGAGGTCAAGACGGCTGGATATTGGCCAAGTTTTTTTTGTGTTTATAGGGACTGAGGTGAAGTGGAGGTCTTAAAAACACTCCTCCCCCCGAAAAAAAAGGATTTACTCCATAGCAAAAATATTTTGCTTCAATAAGAGTCAAGAATGACTTGTTTATTTTTGAGCACTGGGAGAGGAAGCCAACTGTGATTTGCACAATAACAGCAGCAGAGTGCATGATAAAGTGGCAACATGCACAATAACAGTGGCAAAGTGCACAAAGCTGGCTCAGAGCTATCCTGTTTACACATATTTGAGTTGGTTGACTTGTCCTGCTTTTGTGTGATTTTCTCTAATTTGGCCCAACACCCAAAGAAAACTGAGACAATGTACAGTCATAGGCAGTCTATGGTGAAGTTTGAAATCAGTGGATATAGTAGTAAGGTATACATGTAGACCTGTGGCACCAGGATGTGAAACTCTTCTTTTTCCACATGATCATCAGTGTAACATTTTTGTATGTGTTTGTTCTACAGGGCACAAACTGTAATATCCAAGACAAAAAATACATGAAGATATCACCATCAAAGGAAGCTGTGTGATCTATACCAAAAGTTTTCTAACTGGAGATGCTGAGTGAGTAGCTTTTGAGACTTTGTCTTATTTTTATCTGATATAAATTTATGCTCTGGTTATCCTATAGACTGTGGTTTATATTCCACTTCCATTGAAATGTTTTCCTCTTGTTATTACCAATAGGTTTGTATTTTGGTTAGTATTGAAAATTTGAACAACTTCTTCCTGTGCATGTAACTACTATATTGAATATTCCTCTGATTTTTGTCATACTACGCAGTTTAAGTGAATGATATATATTGTAAATTGCCATTTGAAGTGAAGTAAAAGTCTTACCACATTTTCACTAAAACACACCTGTACACACTTGTACATAAAGAGCATTACTAGCAAAAGGGAAAGATAATTGAAATGGGTGTTAGAAATGTTTATCATGTTTATCACATGTACTTTGCACCTCCAATCAGTTGATTTTACACATAATATATAGTGACTATACAAATATGCTGAGTATGCAAATTACTATGTAAACGACATCATTCATTAATTTGCTAGCAGTTGGTAATTTTGAGATTACTGCAAAATGAAAATTTATTTTAAGCTCAGAATAAACTTCTTTGTTTTATTGATAGACATGAATTTGGTAACAAAACTGCATTGAATTACAACTTCATTTTGTTATACATGTGCACTCAGGTTAAAGAGTGCATTATCACCAGCAATTATCTTTTTTAATAGTTTCATGAATAAGTTAAAGGGTTCATTTATGCTCTGCTTCGATTTTGCTAGTCAGGAGATCTTACAACTTATGGATGAGCAGTATATGCATGTATGGCTTAACACAACAAATTCCTGTCAACAAGTAAAATTGAATTAATAGAGGCAACTTAAAACTGATAGTAGATTGGCTCTCCCTGTTGGATGAAAATTCCTGTCTGTACAGATCATTAATCACTTCTTAGCTTGTGCAGTTTTCTCTCATGTAAGATGGTTCTCCTAGGCAACATTCCTGCTCAAATCATCAAGTATTTATCTGAGTGTCCTTGTGCAAACCAGATATGACCTTTCACAAACACCCACTATTCAAAATGATAAAAAATAAATTGGATTTGGCTGTAACATGTGCAAAGAGATGTTCTTTGTTGACTGTTCAACCTTTGGTGCCATGATGTGTCTTGTAAACAACTCAGGAAATGCACTGTAAGAAAGTTTCTCTAACCACTGCAACATTCCTACCCTTAACTGTTTTACTCCCAGAAGTGATTAACATGAAACTTTTCCCTATAATATTCAAACATATCAGGCAGAAGTTTGTGTTCTGATCTAATGCCAAATTCTTATAACTAATTTACAAGGAAATGTGCAGCAGCTAGAGGGGGGAGTTAGCAATCAGATCTTGGGAGTTAAAGGGTTAACCCTTTTACTCTCATTAGTGACTAAAAAAGGAATTTCTCCTCAGAGAGCCAATACTTTTTCTAGTAGAAATGTGGTGAGAAGATAGAAATACATGAATAGAGTGATATTTCTTGATTGAACAACAAATTCTTACGGCTAAAATTATGTGAAATGTGTAACAGACAGTGTAGAGAATTGATATTTAGTTCTTGGGTATGAAGAGATAAATTTATATTTTTTTACATTTATCATTAGAAATGTCTTTTCTCACTGGCCTCACTATTACTGAATCATGTCCCAATCTTAACCCTATAACTTTTCTACATTATATCTGTACACAATCCAGCAAATAGGTAATGACAAAACTCAAACTTATCTGGAAGAAGTTGTTATCTTGATCTAACACAAAATTAGCGCAACTAATTTACAAGGAAATGTGTAGCAGCTGGAGAAGAAGTTTAACATTCTCATGTTGGGAGGTAAAGGGCTAAAAAAACATTGCCTGCAGCATCAGCACTCGAGGTCAAGAGTACTTTTGAAAGCATATTAAGAAATCTATCTCCCGTATCTTTTTTTTAAATTATGCCATCACGTTTTGTAGATCTTAAAATAGTAAGGCCGCGTATACTTACGTAAACAACACTTGGAATCCAATGTTACCTACTACGGAACTCTTACACGGAAAGCTTACATCTACATGCATATCAGCTTTGGCACAATCCATTGATGAATTAAAACACTGTTCCTCAGTTTAATTGTGAACAAAATTCTAAACAAATCAGAAACAAATTGAATTAGTTTGTAAGCTTGCACTCTATTTTTAAAATATTCATAAGCTAATCTAGTTACCTCACGCTAGTGTTGTTTTCCCTTTTTTTTTCTTTTTCGGTTTTTCCAGCCTGGCACATTTGGATTATAAAATATTACCCTTGAAAGAAGGATGATTGATATTTACTTAAGTGTTCCAAAAATATACTAAAATATCGGAAGTGCAGTCAACCACTTACTTGCAGGTAGTATTTTGGTTAATTTTTTTTGTCTTGTATGGCAAGAACAAAGAGAACCAGGAGGGAAGGAAAAGCGAAAAGTTTCATGAAAATCCCTAGACTCTTTGGTACGACACATTTCCGTAAATTTTGGAACAAAATTAGAATGATCGATGAGACGAGAACTTCTGCTCTTTTATGTGTTTTTTTTTTTGTTTTTTTTTTTAAGAGAAGTTATTCTTATACTCAAAATTATTAATAGGAGTTAACGTAGTGTCCACAATTTCCGCAGTCTGTGGCAGTAATTTTGAAAGAAGATCACGAAATACACCACCCGCGCTTGCATTTTTTTTAAACAATAATATTATGACCTTTCTGATACCGTGAAATAGTATGACTGTATGTGCGGACACGAAACAGTCGTTGGACTATGACCTTATATGGAGTAAAAGTGAACACCCATACAGACAGTGTATACATATTTTCAGTGCAACTAGTTTTTGGAAGAATCTTCTCAATGAATGGAATAAATTTTGCTCAAGAATGAGAAAAGAATATCTATGTGTGATCGTTTTTTCTTCTCCTCGTTGCGCGAAGAAGTGGTACTATCCCTTAAAAGGATTTGAAAAGAAGTGATGTAAGTGTCTTTTCAGTTTTTGTTGTTCTTAACCCTTTAACTCCTATAAGTGACCAAGACAGAATTTCTCCTTACCATATCAACACAATATCAACCAGACAAGTGATGAGAATAAAGAAAAATATCAATTGGGGGATAATTAGTTGATCCAATATTAAATTTTCTGAACTAAAATTGATGGAATCGTATGGTTGACAGAAAGGAGAATTGCAAATTTGATCTGGGAGTTAAAAGGTTAACCGTCCTTGTTACGTTTGAGATTGTAATTACTCAATTATTGCTCTTTCTTCATCTCGCTTTTTCCCCTTTCCTCCCAACAATTCAAGAGATGGAGCGACGACTTCCCAGGCCAATTTAACAGTGTTCCCTTGTTCTCCCCAATTATCAGTCTGTGAACGAACCGTCAGAGCCCAATTAGACTTGCGTCACCGTTAAATACGATCGCACAATATAGACTTAGGTCTTACGGTCGTCTGGCAAAGGTTATGGTGTTGAATTTTGCACGGCTTTACGATTACTTTTTTTCCTTTCCGGCGCTCCTGAATCCTTTTAGTTACCACTGATAATCACTTGTTTGATCATTCTACTGCATAAAAATAGCAACGTAGCACTCAAGTGGGAGTATTTTTCCTCTTATTACAATACTGCTGTTCTTAGTCTCAGCAGTAATCAAAGTTCTTAGCCGCTTAGTTCACACTCAAATCACAAAATATCTCGCAAAGTATCGGCAAATTTGCTCTTTCTTTTTTTTTCTTCTTTCACTCTCTTTTTCCTTTGCGATTTTGTTTTTGTCTGTTGGTCCTAATGTGATTCCCTCACGCCCAACTGAAAAGCTTTCCTATCCAGGGAAATTCAATTATGAACTGTTTTTTTTTATGTTTGTAATTGATTTATTATGTATACAGTTTTGCGGGCTGTTTCTGTTGATAGTATCGTCATTTATTGGCTAATGGAATTACACTCGCCAAGTAAAGGCGTCTATCAGTTTGTCTGTCTGCAGTATATCGAGTGTCCCACGCAGCCTTCATTTTTACGCGCGAAGTTTCCTTACTCGCTTTACTCGGGTTGTGTCTGATCAATTGCCACAGCTGCCTTTTTACTGCTAATATCGCTAAGCTTCATCAAATGATCACTTCTCGCCGTTCTTAGTTGAAAACTAGCTTAGGCAGTATTCACTTTCTATTGCAAAACTGCTCACGTTCTAGTACACTCGTTGCGTGTTTAAATGTCGAAATGCGTTTAATGGATCGTTAATCCTGTTAATCACCAATTACGGTTCGGGTGATGGTTACGGCAGCCCTATGGCCTGTCCACAATAGCTGTTACAATGCCTCTTAACGGCCTTGTTAAATTCATAAATGAGCCAGAACGACCCGTGTGGTTAAAAATGTTCCCTAGTGAGAAGTTCGAGACTCGTCTAAGTTATTCTTTTGGTGTGTACCACGCACGTCTTCGCTGAAACGGAACAAAGTTGATCGGACGCGTTCCACGTACGCGCAAAGCGCTCATCTACCCACGTTTTATTTTATCGGTGTGTCGGATTTACAAAGGTGTTGAAAAATCTAGTATGTGACAAAATTAATTCGCGCCTCCACTTGGTTTAAACCATGAAATTTTTGAAATTACATGATTGTATTGCTCAATTTTCGTGGGAGGTCATATAATATAGAAGCAAATACGAGTTAAGATGGTAGGAATTTGAGTGGGCCGGCTTATCGGGTGCAAACGGGAATGTGTAAAAATTTTCCACAGAAACTTTTACGAGATAAGGTAAATTAGAGGAAGTGATTATGTTTGCTTTTCAAGCACGTGGCTGAGGTTTCAACTGTAAAAGGCGGTGATTTTTCATACTGCATTTATTGCTTCTAAGTGCGCAATTAAGCTTTTCTTTTTCCAGTTTTTTCTACGATATACTTAGCAACTGATTATCTCAAATAATAGAATGCATTACTGAGTCAATCTCAATTACAACTTCCTTGGTTACTGGAATAGCGTTTTGGCACGTCTTCTTGTTAGGGACCATCATATTGCTCACACAGTTT